GTGAGGGATTAGCGAAGAACAAGAACACCAGGCTACGACCCATCTCTTCTATTCCGCTGCCCTTCCTGCTTCAACTCACTCGTCGACTTGGACTCTACGGAAGAAGGACATGTGTCCCTTGTTGTAACCTTATGGTTAGCATGATGGCGAATGCGTATTTACTTCTGCCAAAAGGCTGTCAGATGGGACAATTTTGTTAGCCCAACTTTTCGACCTTCTCATCTTCTTCAGAGGCCTGAAAATGGCTCGAAGCTTTTGATTTGTTACATACCCGACCAAACGCCCTCTTCCTCTACCGTTTACGGCCTCATGTCCCGAGCGCTCCTGAATAACCTGTAAATAACTGCAAACAACTCACCGAAGCGCCCACCGTGTGTGGCTGGCTCGCGCTGCGTGTCAGTAAGACCAGTACGAGCGAATGAGTTTCACTCGACTGTCATCGTGTCGCACAATTGAATTGTAATCGCGCACGTAGCTCTTACGTAGGTCGCACTCTGGCACAAGCGGCAGGAATCGATTTGTTATTGGCAGACGCTCGTTTATTGTTCATTCTTGCTCTTCTCACGACAATTTAAATGATCTCCAAATACCCCAGAAGAGATTCCGTAATTCCGTCGTACGCCAGAATCTCTTCTGGAAAAAGTTGCGAGTCATTTGAATTCTCAAAAAAAATGCAAGACAAGTATTAGCTACACCATTACACTAGAATTACACTTAACATCAAAGTCGCTCTCATTATGTTGCTCAACCTTATGCGTGCAAAGGGGAGAGGTCAGAAAACCGGCCAGGGGTTCTTCAGTGCGCGTAGCTGAACTCTTCTTGTTTACCTGGTGCACGAGCTGTCTCAAGCCCTATTTGAGCTGACAAGTTACTTCAGCCTGTTAACAATCTCCTAACTTCTCATATGGACAAATGAAGCAGTCTGGTGTCATGCACTGCCTCTGACACAGTCTGCTGCAAACAAATTGGTCTTCGATGTTACTGTCGGGCATATTCACCAGAATGACATCTTCCTTCAACTGTGCCCCCACAATACTGCGGCCCACAATATATCAGTTCTGATGGTATCGGTAATAAAAGGAAGGCATAGGGGTAATAACTTTGTGGCGCAGTTAGGCTAGAATTCGATGTTCTGCGATGTGCTCGTACCGCATAACCACTCTCTTTAGCAATTTTGGAGTGAAAGGCTTGGTCGCTCTTCATAGCCAGTACACATCCCGGTTGCAGTCGCGACCATGGTACTGATAACTGCACTTTCATTACAACAGGATGTAACAATGACAGCATGAATCAGGATGTTTTTATAACCAACTCTACGGTACCATATCCCGTTAGGATGCAATTTTACAAGTTCATGCACTTACATGTGGTCGCCAACGTGGTCATTGATTTCTCGTGTAAGCTTTACGTACTGCGACTTATCATTAAGCAGTCGGTGACAGTCATCCGTTTCGGAGCCAGGGCCCATCGTTGTGGAGATCACCCAACAGTTGAACAGGGGGGGGGTCGTTTGTGACACCCACTGTTCCTGGGGTAGTCAGTAATGAGCACCTCAAAGGTGACAGTGTGCTGAGTACTGCATAGAAACTTGATTGTAGAAAACCAGAGGATGTGAAAACAATAGTACAGAAATTAGTCATCACTGAGACTGATCCAAATCAACTGGAAATATTAAGGAGCTGGCATCATTTCGTAAGTACGTAGATGACTGAACAGTACAACTTACCCTGGTTCGCTGCGGATGTTGGGGAGTGTCCGCGCTACCACCCTTGGCGAGGTGCCAAGCTGTTTTTTCAACAAACAAAGGAGCAACCATATCTTTTGTATCGGACGTTTTCCAGCAGTTGGTCTCCTTTACTCAGCAATTCGTGGAGCACGATCTGGCGGCGTGCGGACGTGCCCCATCATTCGCAATGGACAAACAAGTGCGTAGGTTGGCCATGGACTTCCCTGAATCCTGTAAACACATCTGCTCGCGTAGACATGCATTGCGTAGAACTTGCATCCTCCAACTACCTCTGCGCGGAGCTAAGCATAAATATCCATAAATAAAGATAGGCGCTAAACAACTACTGCTTGTTCCTATTCCACGAAGGGATGCATTCTAGATGCATTCCTGGATATCCGAATACGCCCACTTGAAACGGTACACAGAAAACGGGTTTTTCGAGCAGCTCGGAGTGTTCTTCAGAAAATCCCCAACGCGATTATCTCATGAATCCCGAAAACTTCAGAAACAATTTAAATAGTTCTTTGGAAAGAGGAAATCTTCTGATATTCGACACTGGTTTTAGATTTGCTAAAATTTTAGTTTTCAAAAAATTATCTTTGTTCAAACCAGGACAGTTTGCATCCAATTTCAAAAATCCCCAACAAATCCCAACGCTGAATTTCTCTCTGAATCTGGCAACCTTTATGAACATTTCAGTATTTTTCGAAAGACACGAATTTTTTGAAGAGTATTCAATCCTTTTGCGGATAACATTTTAGGTGCTGCAAAATAAGAACCGAAGATGATGACGAGGGCTAGAACTCAAGAGCAACTGTGGTGCTTCTGCAATATCCCTCAGAGGCCGCGCATTCCCACAGAACATGACAATAAAAACGGCCTAAGCGTCCCACTCGTTAGTTTAAAGTATTTCTATGGCTTTGGAGCCGAATTCGCGCCGGATCGCAGAAATTCACACGCGATTTTAATTAATTTGCGTTTCCTTGATTTTTCATTTTGTTTTATTTACATCTACATTCGTTGTTCTTCATTTCTAGCCTTTGTCATCTTCATCACCTTCTATTCGGACTTTGAAGCATGAGCAACACCTCAAATGTTATCCGCATCAGGAAATTGCGTTTACTTGTATTCCAAAGCGCAATTACAGGACTTGGCAAAAAGCCAAGAGAGCTGCGCGCGACACGCGCCGCGCGGAACGGCTGTTAGCATAAACGGTGGGCGGAGTATGGAGGAATTAGCGTGTTTCACGGTCCTGTATCTCCATTCCTGCGCATGTTAGGACGGGGAAACCGCTACGCTTCGACAGCTGGGGGCTGATAGTCACGCACACCCAAACTATACTCGAAATCCCTGAGATCGGGTAGGCGTGGCCGCATGCTTCAACTTAACCTGAAGGTGTCTATGCTTCTGGTGAGATATTTTCATCTTGACACAATTGTTGTCGTGT